CGAAAAGGGATAGAAAATTATATATAAAATAAGTTCAGGGGGTAATAGGACCTTAGTAAAGGTTAGGTATGTCTCAGGGATTTTGGGCATAGACTGGGGGATACTTATGCATTTCCCCATATTTTAATATGAGCATAAATAGTTTTCAGAAGAAATTTCAATCAGTAATTAAAGTAAAGGTAAGATCAGTTTTCCCTAAAGAGAGTCTTTTGAGTATTAACTCTGCATAGATATTATATGAGCATTATTGCATGTTTTAGGAGAAGTATTGAGCACCGATTTGGGCAAGAGTTAAGATAACTCAAATCCCATAAAATGTTTCGATGGCGTACATAAGATCGTACCGTTAATTCAGGTGACTTCTCACTAGCCTAATTGAGGCTTCTTAGATAGATCCATAAGTTGAGTTTTTGTCCTATGCCCCGACAAGGTATATGACAATTCTGACGGTGTGGGAAGATATTGTATCATCACGAGACTCATAATGATGGTTGTCGGTTAGAGAAACTCCCCAAGAAGAGTAAAGTAAGTATTTTGCTATTACAACATATCTCATTGTAAAGCTTTAATGATTTCATTTCATGTTCATGCTTTACTTTTAGCTTATCTATTCAGTCCAGTTATTTACTTCATTCAGCCTTATTACATACTATACAGTCTATGTATTGTTGTCACTCGATGCTACATAATTTTATGATGCATATACAGGTGTTCAAGATCATCAATAGACGCTTTGTTGAGATCATTACCTCGTCAGCTTTTGGTGAGACTTCATTACTTTCAGAGGACTCCATTAATTATGTTTTTTTTCAGTATTAGTAGATAGTTTGGTCTTTTGAGGTAGTCCCGGTCTTGTCCTGGTACCTACCATCAGTATTTCCTTTCAAATATTGTGAACAATCTCATTATTTATACTCTGTATTTTCAGAGAGTGCATGATGATTAGTTAAGTATTTTGAATACTCATCCATTTAAGCTTCCACGTTTATGTTTAGTCTTTCGTTCAGTATGTCATCCATGTCAAGGGTTCGCTTGGGACCAACAATGATTTCCGAGTGTCGGTCACATTCAAGGTGTAGGCTCGAGGTGTGACAACTATCCAAAAGATTTTATGATCCAAATTCTTTCCTTGTGAACCTACTCATAACGAACAAATCAGATCGTTATAAAAGCCTTCTATAGTCAATAGTTGATTTTAGGGACATATTTAAATAAAAATAAAATGTTAAAGATATATTTAATCCAATAAGTAAAAGTAAGATATTTTTAGTCAAATTAATAGGTTGAAGTTTTTTTTTTTTGGACACTTTTCCATATGTTGTACATGAACATTCAAAAAGAGACTAAGAAAGATGTCATTGTCAAAGAAAACTACTCCTAACCATCATGACAAATGAAGAAAGAACTAACATTACTTTGGGCATTAGTGGTGATAGAAATTCAAAAAAGGTAAAATATGGTTTGAACATTTTGGACACATAAAGTTCATTTGTTTCGTGTTAGAACTCTCAATATGATGATGAAAAATTGGTATAATATATAAATATGTCATTTAATTTGGCTTCAATTGGCATGCATCTATGTCATCCAACTTTGAGTGTATACAAGTAAAAACTTAAACTTGTATAAAATTAAATAAGTAGACACACACGTTCTACGTGACAAATACACATAAGACACCATGTAGGACACAAAGTTTCTATGTAGGACACTGCGTAAGATGAATGTGTCTATTTATTTAATTTTATATAAAATTAAATACTACTTGTGCATGCTAAAAGTTGAAGGTATAGATGACAGCTAAAATTAAGTGCAACAAATGACTAAAGTAAGTAATTCTATTTAATAAATATATATAGGGGGATATTAAAAAATATTTCTTACGAGGAATTTAAATTATATATATTGATATTGTATTATTTGTACAATTTAACTAGTATTAATAGGTTGATTATTTTATTTCAAGTTAGCATATCAAGCATAATATAAAAGGTACATCTCTGAATGTGAGTTCACTACTTAAAAAAAAATTAAGAATTAGTGGTAGAAAATTATATTGCTATATATCAAAAATTCCTATTAACTACAAAGTTTGTAGTTAATTTCATTTTTTACTTAGTCGTTATCGCAAAATCCTTAATTCTTTTCACTGTTCTATTTAAAAAAAATCTAATAACCAGACTTTGTTAAATATATGGCGTAGACCAAATGTGCTCATCTTTTCAAACTTAAAGGACAAAACAGTTCAAAAATATATTTAAGTGACCATTTTGTTATTTTCTTAGAGGTCTCAATACTGGCCTATAAATACAGCTTTCCATAAAGGAATAAAATCAACAATATTAATACATTAATTCTTCTATATATTCTACAAATTACAAATTAATTAAGATGGCCTCATTTAAGCAAGCTTTTCTCTTCATTTCTCTCTTTGTTGCAATTTCATCAGGTTGAAAACTTTTACAACTCTTTTCCTATTTTAGTTTGTTATAAACACTGCGATCAGTGATAGAGTCGAAATTTTCATTAACGGGTCCAAGTTATGAAGAAGTAAATACATGATAAAGTCAAAAGGAAGTCAGCATCTACTATCTATACATAAAATATAATTTTCATTTTTCACTATATATAAACAGTATAATTTTCTGTCGAAAAGAGTTCAGATAAACTCTTGGACCCTTACTAGCTCCGTTTCTGACTTGATCTATTCATTGTTGTGTTTACAATGTGCAGTTTATCTCTCTTGGGCTCCAAGTAAGATGCAAGTGATGGCATTACGAGACTTACCTGGTGATGTTGGAGAGATGAAAGAGAAATTATTTCAACTTAATGATATTGTGACTTGCGGGCATCGTTGCAAGGGTCATAGCGATTGCAAAGAAGGTTTTATTTGTTCAACTTGTCTTAAAATTGGGTCTGCGGTTTCTCATTGCGTATGATATAAGCACACTTTTACTGGTGAAATATCCTTGGAGCATAAAATATTGTTGCGTACAATGAATGAACTATTAATTGCTTGTTACAAAGTTTGTGTAAGAAAATAAATATGTAACCTTATAATGTTTTCCATATATTGGGAAACTACCTACTCTAACAGGTTACAAACTTAAATATATGTATATGTTGGCCGCTTGTCTTTATCCTATATGCAATTCAATATTTAATGAGATAAAAGTCAAAATAATACATCTGATTTATTATATTTTTGCGATTTGATCAATTATCAATTATTCATTTTTTCATCTAACCTACAGTTCAGATAAATAAATGGAACAACTGATATACAATTGACCTAATTAGTTTCATGGTATTTATTAATAAATCTATTTTGATAGTTTAGGTACGAAAAATATAATGAAACAATTAATATTTGATTTTCAATAGCTCTTCATCCAATTACATGCTCTTCGTCGTCATTTTGTCACTCGTTTACAAGAGCTCAAATTTCAACAAAAACTCATCAAAATCTACACCAATCAAGCTCAAATGATATTTATTTCAACAAAAATAAATAAAAAATGAAAAAACGAAATAGATTCTTATTTTTAAAAATTGAAATTACATGTGGCAGTGTCTATTTCACTAGCTACCACAAATTTAATTTTCTATGTCACCAACCAAGATTGTGGTAGAGTGGTAAGTATTCATTCATCTTTAGTCAGATGTCTCGAGTTTGAGTCCCTCTAGGTATAGAATCACCTTTGTTAGGGAGCACTTTACCCCCCAATGTGGGACTTTCCAACGTGAATCCAAATTTAATTGGGCTTCAATATGGATACAAAATACTGAATTGGGAAAAAAAAAATCAATATCACGTCAGAACGTAAATGATATCTATTTCATTTTTAAATATTTTTAAAAGGTAATAGAACCCCCCAAAAAATAAAACATATATTTGATACTTTGAAGTTCGGATATAGCTCAGATATACTTGTCTTTCTATTTAATTTACTATTATACTGAACTGAAAAAAAGAAGCGCAACAAAAAGTCAATCTAAGTTTTTTTTATTTGTTTAAGTACTTAATCAATTAAACGAAAATTTACGCGAAATCATAAATATTTACTGTGTATTATTTAATGTAGCTACAGTTTCGGATAGTTATGATTCGCGACTATAACTTTTTAAATTTCTCTATGAATTTGTATAATTCGGCTCCTATTGTATAATTTGTATAAATTCAGAATTTGTATATGCTTACCCTAGCTATTTGTTGATACATTTGATTTGTATAAGTTATGAAAAATTCATAATAAATTATCATGTTTGTATATTAGCAAATGAAATATACAAACAGAATTCTGAATAATTTCTAAATGTATAAATATAGAATTTGTATATATTGGTAAGCAAAATATACAAACGGAAATACTCATAGCAAACGAAACTATAACTATGAAGCGTAATTAGGTAAACTATAACATTGAATAAATACAAAATCTTCCCGTCAAGAAATTAAATTCTAAATTAGTAATTTATTATTATTTTGTTAGTTTTAGATTTAAATTGTTAGGTGTTTTTAGAATTTTTTGAACTATATGAATATTACGATTCAACAGTTGTTCCAACGAGTTCTAAATACGATTATGAGAGAGGGGGGGGGGGGGGGGGGGGGGGGGGGGGGGGGGTGTTTGATATTTTTTTCATGTTAATTAATCAAAATGCTTTGAATTTTTTTTTTAAGGTTTGTTGAAATAATAGTTGCATAAGTTAGTAGTGACTGCAATGCAACATCAGTGCACAATTCTGTTTTTACTGTTTCACTGTTACATTGAGTTAGTTAGTTTGTTACCATTTCATTGTGTTAGTTATAGTTTGTTACTTAGTTAAACGTGATAGAGCTGAGTCGGTTAGAGGTTTCTAGAGACTCCTAGATGATTACAGGAGTCTATAAATACTGTAATTGATAGACATTGTAAATATACTTTTCCATCTTCTTCTTCTCAATTTTTCCTCTGTTCAATTACAATTTCATTATGTTTTCTTATGGTATCAGAGTAGTTCGTCAATGTCTATGTAGAACAGGCTAAAGACGTAGGTTGAAGGAGATCAGATCTACTATAGATTGTTGATTCAAAAATGGCAGGTATTAAGATAGATCCAAGTGATCCATTTTATATAGGCCCAGCTGATGCATCTGGTGCTGCATTGATTCCTGTCAAGCTAATTAGATCAGAAAACTATGGAGTTTGGAGTCGATCAATGAGAATCGCGTTGTTAGAGAAAAGGAAATATGGATTCGTGATTGGAGCCTGTAGCAGAGAATTGTACAGGGATGAATTGCATGAGCAATGGGAAACTTGTAATGCAATTGTCTTGTCATGGCTGATGAGCTCTGTTAATGAGGAATTGTTGAGTGGAATTGTATATGCAACAAGTGCATATGATGTATGGAAGGACCTGAAGGAGAGATTCGATAAGGTGAATCGCATGAGACTTTATCAGCTACATAGAGAAATCAATTCACTCATACAAGGAACTGATTCAGTGTCGAATTATTTTACTAAGCTGAAGAATCTATGGAGTGAATATGATGCTGTGGTACCAGCTCCAACTTGTATCTGCCCAAAGTCGAAGGACTATACAGATCACCTATACGAGCTTAGACTAATTCAGTTTTTACTGGTTCATTTAGAGTAGAGTTTGGGCCGGTTGGGCTGAAGAAATAGGCCCAAAACTTGGTATCAAATGGGTTTAGGGTGGGAAAATTGATGGCTAAAATTGCAAATAAAAAGGTTAGGCAAATGAATTAACAATCTAGCCAAGTTGAATTTTATTAGTGAATCCAACTAAAGATTAAATAAAACGAATTAATATTAATTAACGAGTTTTTTAATCTTAACAAAATAAAATAATTAACTTAATTATAAACTAACTAATTCAATTACAAAACTAATTAACTCGAAATTATAACTATAACTTAAAGTAAATTAATAAAATATTTAACTAAAATGTAAAATCTTTTGTGATGATATTTTCAAATATTTATAAAATAACGTGATTGCAAAAAATATACATGTTTATTATAAAAAGAATGGTAAAATTACTTTAAAAAATAACTTGAAAGTATTTTGAATTTCATAAAACTCATTGATTCAAAATTATAACCATCCCTAATATTTAAAATATAAAATCTTTTTTGAGACTATTTTCGAATAATCATAAAATATACTAATTATATACATAATTATGTAAAACATATAGATTATCTAAAAATTATGAAAAGTGACAAAACTATTTAAAAATCTTGCAAACTATATTATTATTTTTTTGGAAATTTTATAAAACTAATTATTTTAAATCGTTTGAAATTGGAGAAGCTCGAAATGATTAATTTATATTGTGGAGGGTCAAAATTGGGTGTCAACAACAAGTCAATATGGCAGGTATGTCTACTTGCTTATTGTCTCATGTAGAATCACCAGAATGGATAGTAGATTCTGGTGCTACACACCATGTGACAACAAACAAAAGTGTGTTTTCAAAGAGTCGTGTAGTAAGAGATAAGGTCCATCTTCCCACTGGTGCTAAGGCAGATTTATCACACATAGGAGAGGCCTTTGTTTTTGAAGATGCAGTTGTACAAGATGTATTACTTGTTCCTGATTTCAAGTATAATCTGTTATCAGTGTCCAAGGCCACTAAACAACTATCCTGCTTTGTCTTCTTTTATCCTGATTTTTGTGTGTTTCAGGACCTTCACAGTGGCAAGGTGAAGGGGATTGGTAAGGAGAAAGGGGGATTATACATTTTCAAAGGTGCACATGGAATGAAGAAAACATCTAAGGCTCAAACACATCAAAGTCTGATTGCAGGAGTAGTAGTGCAAGACAACAAACTATGGCATAAGAGACTTGGGCATCCCTCAACTCAAGTTCTGAAGTCATTATCTCTTTTACAACATAATAAAGACATAGATTCCTTGAATACTTGTCATGTATGTCCTTTAGCTAAACAAGCTAGATTACCATTTCCAATTAGTGAGAACAGATCAACTATGTGTTTTGATGTTATACATGTAGATCTATGGGGACCATATAGGATTCCAACTTTTGATCAGAAACATTACTTCTTGATAGTTGTGGATGATTGTAGTAGGTACACTTGGGTTCATTTGTTGCAATTAAAGTCTGAAACTATTGTGGCACTCAAACATTTCTTCTTACTGATCAAAACTCAGTTCGGTGTGTCTGTAAAGGTCATAAGGTCAGACAATGGCACATAATTTTTTAGTTCCTAATGCAGAGAATTGTTTCAATCTTTAGGAATAATGCATCAAAGTAGTTGTCCATACACACCACAACAAAATGGTGTGGTAGAAAGGAAGCACAGACATATATTGAATATAGCTAGGGCCATCAGATTCCAATCTCACATGCTAATCAAATTCTGGGGACTGAGTGTTCATGCTACAGTATACTTAATGAACAGGTTACCATCATCAGCTACAAGGGGTAAAAGTCCATTTGAGCTGCTATTTTCTAGATGTCCTTCCTTGTCCCATCTTAGAGTGGTTGGTTGTTTGTGTTATGCCTCAGTACTTCCAAATGGAGATAAGTTCTCAGAGAGAGCTACACCTGCTATCATGATGGGATATTCTACTACACAGAAGGGATACTTATTGTTGGATTACAACACTAACAAGTTCTTTGTCAATAGAGATGTCATTTTTCAGGAACACATCTTTCCATTTGCCAAGGATAAAGTCTCAGATAATTGTTCCACAAACTTCTTAGTTTCTTATGAAGAATCAGATGATGAAATGAACCAATCTCATGAAGTAGAAGTAGAGTATGTTGATTCAACTTCAGACACAGTGTTGGATATTAATGCAGACCTTGGTTCTAACCTCTTGTTAACTCCTGAAGTATCTATTCATACCAACTCAGTTCCTACATCACAGAATGCATCACCAGCTTGGAAAATCATTGAAGCACCTTCTTCAACTGGTATTGCTCCACCAAGAAGAACATCTAGAATTTCTCAACAGCCTGTGTGGATGAAAGATTATGCAGGACCTAAAACAGGAAAGGGCACAAGATATCCACTGGCTAGTTACCTCTCCTATGATAATGCAACTCCTAACTATCAATGTTATTTGAGTAAGTTCTCCACATTAGTTGAACCACAAAACTTTGGTCAGGCTGTTAAGGATGACAGATGGATTCAGGCTATGAAGTTAGA